TTTCAAAGTTCTTACAGTTAGGACTGTGGGTTTCAGTCTGTTGTTTTGTAAGACTGAGTTCTGACAAATCAGCCCCTTCCCAGAGCCTGTGTCTGTTTAACCTCTAACTGGCTTATTAGAATAAAATGTAATTGATCCTTTTTTTGAAAGTGTTTGCTCACTCCCTCTCTGGAATAGAAAAAATAAACAAAATAAAACCCTGCACTGTGGTACCTGTTTCCTTCTCCCTCTAGCCCAGGATACCTGAATTACTGAAGGTGAAACTATTTTTCTAACATCTGGATGTTTTTTCTTTAACCTTATGCACTGATTACATGCTGTTCTGCCACTTAACATACTACATCAGAAATATTTATGAGACTTTTAAAGAAAAACACATTTTAAATCATCTGAGACTTCTTAAGGTAGGTAGGCAACTTGCAGACTTGTCTTGCAAAAACAAAGCATGCTGCAACTTTGCCAATAATGCAAGGAGCAACAGGGATTGCCATGCTCTGCATTAATTCTGCAGTTGCACTGTCAAGTAGATAATTTCACAGTATTTAAAATGAAAGCGAAGTAGCTTCAGAGCAAAAATTAGACATTACTGTGCAGAAAAAAAAAAAGAAACAGTGCAGTCTTTACGGAGTGTCTTTGGCTTGGCCTTGAGGGTCTTTGTACTGTCAGAACTTTCAGATATTTTTTTTTCTAAGCTTAAAAAGTGAACTAATTGCAAGGAAATTAATAGCACTGATCAGGCTAGATTGTGAACTAAGGTCATGATGTGAAAAAGCTGCACCAGGAGCGTAAAGGAAACCACCCAAAGCACCAGCTCAGTAGCTCGCTTACCCTTTCACTCAGACCACCAAATGTGTTTGTAACACAAAGTAAAACATTTCATAAACAGTTCATGCTGGACACTTGGTAAACTGATTTATCACCACCACTGCTGCATATTTTTTAACAGACCATGCCCTGCACCGCCACCAAGCAAGTCACATGGACACTCTAGACAAAGTCTCTTCCTGGAACTATTCAACAACAACAACAAAAAATAAAAGCCATCTTGATCAATTCTCTGGAGGACCAATTACTACTTAACAGGCTTCCTGAGCAGCTTGATTATGTTCTGCTTCTGTCTAAGGCCTTGCTGACCATGCGGGTAATAATTTGATAACAAGAGAGCCTAATTAAATTAAGGGGCCATTTTCTACATCATAATATCTCTGTAGGTAAGAGATTTGATTTGCAGTACATATGCTTCCTTCTCTCTGCTATCTGCATTTGTCTGGTTTACAAGCAAAAGATAAAAACAACAACACACCAGCAAAACCAACATTATCCAACCTTCACCCCAAAACACTTGTACTTTTCATATAACATTATTGGAAAGCAATATTGCTAAAAACAAACATATAGCTTACCTTTGCCCTCCTCATCTTACTGTAAAAGAGCTGTAGTGCTCACCCTCTCAAAGGAATGACTTTTTGGGTGTGCAAGGGGGAAGCTGGAGCAGTGAAGGAGTAACAGTGCGACAACTGGGCTGTCTCCAGCACTCAACTCTTCATGGCTAACAGAGCCTGACTTAGTCCACACAGTCCTGTCCTGTGCTGCTGGTCTGGGATGATCCCAGCTGGATAAGAGCATCCCCCTCCCCAAATGGCCTGCAGAAGCAGAAGGCTATCACATCAAAAGGCACAACAGCCTTCCAGATAACTGCAGAATGCTAAGTCGAAGGTGACACAACACTTTGTTAAGAGGAAAAAGCCCACGTTGAAACTACTGCAGGTTCTGACCTGGTGAGACTCAGCCATGGTGCTCAGGCTCCCACTGCTCCCTGGGGACCAGAGCTATTTGCCGTGCAGCACCGAGCGCCATGTCAGTGGGTAATTGGTCCTGACCACACCTAGTGCATTAGTCCTCATGGGCTGCACACGCAGCTCAGCACTCCTGGCTCCCGGACGAGCAGAGCAGGAGGGGATCAAACTACCGCACCAAGCGTTCAGAAGCCAGGAATTCAAAGCACAGCTGCAGAACAAAACTAGAGGGAAACAGGAACCCTGTGAAGTAGAGTCCATCATCTAACCGGGTAAGCAGTTCATTTTTTTGTCACTATCTTTTCTAGATAATCAGAAATCACGTAAAACCTCAAGATAGAACAACTCACTGCTCTGAACAACTGAGAAGCCATAGTTGGTTTTTAAAATGCAAAACTCCAATAATGTATTCATGTGCCTGAGTTTAAAAAGAAATGACTGAACTCCTTTAAATAAAAACTCTTTATCACAAGAGCTCTTTAAAAAATACCCAAAGTGGCAGGGTGGGAATTCAGTTTACTTTGGCTGGGTTCAAACTGTTTAGAAGACAAATAATCCTTTTAGCTTTATCCTAAGCCTAGTTTACATTCCTTTATGTGCTTGACCAACAGTGTGAATATTTTGCATCAGGTGCAGCTATGATCAAAATTAAAAAGAATGTTTAAGTTGGAGAGACAATAGAATCTTTTAGATGGATCTTCACAGTTTTAAGTCTAAGGAGTCAATAACTTCTATGAAACAGTTCAGATTTTATATTAACAAATGAGCAATCACTTCTAAAGGGATGGATAAGTATGACTTTAAAATACAGCTAGAAGATCAATTCTAGAGCATCTTATCCTGTCTCTCCCATTTAAAGGTTATTTTTAATGTGAGATATAAATATTTGCCTGTACAAACTTGTATTTAAGCTCCGGTTTTCATCATTCTTAAACAAAAGGCTCAGTTTGTGCCAGTACCTCCATTAGATGCAATTATATAATTAAATATTAATGGTGGCTTCCTTGGAGGAATTGACCACTTTGATCAGAACACACTGTTGGTAATGCACCATCAGCGACCATGCTGAGCATGAGGCTTCCTGGCTGCACAGTCACTGACATGGGGGAAAGACAGCAGGAGCCAGCTGGACTCTGTAAGGACCTCTATCCCTCACCCACACAGCAGTGTCCCCTGTCTGAGTGCCTATATTTTAATTTACTTAGTTACCAGTCTTGGTTTGGAGGCTTTGCTCAGATCCTGAACTCTTTTTTCAACACTATGCAGTTCAACAACCCTGTACAGGACTCCAAAACCAGCACACAACAGTCCAACCTGGCACTAACAACCTTCTCAGAAGGACAGGTGGCCACTCACCCTCCTGAACACAGCCACTTCTCCCCACAGCAGAGCCACCCCACTGCCTCTGCAGTCCCCTTGCTCAGAAAGATTGATCCTGTCCCTCTGCTTGCAGCCCGGGAAGGAGTAGGGCAGCAGCCCCTGAGAGCCTACCTGCCGCAGCGCCAGGAGAACCATGCCAGGGAAAACCATGCCCGACTCCTTCGTCATCCACTTCCTCAAGGTGCTGAAGGAGCTGCTGGCCTTCGTGCTCTTCAGCTACACCGTGCTGGTTGGGGCTCTGCTGCTCGCTGGATGGACGACCTACTTCTTGGTGCTTAAATGAGAGGCTCCTGTGCTGCTGCTGCAGCCACAGGCTGGCCAGGGGCAGCGGGCTCCTCAGCGCAGCTCCCCCACTCAGCACACAGGACGGCAGCCCCTTCCTGCAAGCGTTTCGTTTCGTTACTGCTTGATCATAATCTTATTTTCTTATGTAAAAACAAAAATTAAAAAAAAAAAAAAGCACTGCATGCATGCACTTTACTGATCTTTGTGGCTCTTTGTCTCTGCTAGACATTCGCCCCTGTTCCCTGAAACATTTAAAAGCTTCCCAGTAGTTTTCTCCTGAGACTCCCACCCTGCACAGCAGAGGACACAACAATGCAAACGTGACCAACACCTCAAGCAAACAAGTCCTGCCTTGTCTAACTCTGTCTCATTAAGGGTGTGAAGGCAGAGATACAGAAATTACTCATAATTATTTTTTTTTTCTTTTTAGAACTCCTGTGAAAAGACATTTTAAATCAGCACAAGGTCTCCCTCTTCTTACAGCTTTATGAGATACACTGCATGGGGTGGGGGCACCAACTCCACATCATCTGCAAGGCTATTATTTAGTGCTGTCCAGTGAGCAACACTTTTCAACAAATGCTTAAAACATGCAGTTAGCAAAAAGATGTGCCTGTGATACAGCACTACCTTCCTAAAAACAAACCATCAACTGAGTTTCTCAGAGAATAAATAGGGATTTCGGGTATATACAAAAAACCCTGATGTAGCTGATCAAGGCCTTTCATGCAGAACTACACAGGAAACCTTTGATGGGTGAAAAGCGAGTCTCAAATTATTTAATCAAGGCCTTTAAAGTACAACTACACAGGAAACCAATGCTGGAGAAGCTAAGGATTGTCATGGAACCATCCAGAAGCACCAGTAATGCTGAAAACCCCATCAGGACAGCAGGGAGGGCGGCAGTGGCGATCGGAGCGGGGAGCGCAGCGGGACTCTGGCTCGCCCCGAGTCGAGAGCTCCTCAGGTTATTATCCCAATTCATCCCATCCCATCCCATCCCATCCCATC